GCAGTGGGAAAATGAGGGGTTCTGTGGGCAGTGTCAGCCAGACAGGCGTAGGAGCGGAAGCCAGGGCTCCTGCAGCCCCGCCCCTCTGCTAGGACTGGCGTGCGGGTGCCTCTGGGTGCGCACGGGGCTGGGCCTCACCTGCCGCGCGGTTCCAGGTGCCGTGTCCGTGTCCCTGTGCTCCAAGGAGGACGGCAGGAGCGGCTCCGGACCGGCCCACGAGCCCACGGCGCCCAAGCGCACCTACGACATGATGGAGGGCCGCGTGGGCAGGGCCATCGCCTCTGCTGGCATTGAGGGTGGGCGCCACACTCCCATCACCCCTGCCCTCAGCTCCCCACCGTGGGGCCTGGTGCCACCCAGCTAGGTCTCGCCCCTCTCAGGGCAGTGGGTCCAGGAGAGAACTCAGCTCAGCACTCCCTGGAGGGAGGCGGGGCCCCAGGACCCAGCCCGTCCGTGATGCCCACGCCCTCCCACCAGGTCTCATGGGCCGCGCCATCCCCGCCGAGCGCCACAGCCCCCACCACCTGAAAGAGCAGCACCACTTGCGCGGCTCCATCACACAAGGTACCCAGTTCTGCTCTCGGCCCGGCCCAAGACCTGGGGTGGGAGGCATGGTGGCCCTGCCCAGCTGGCGGGGGTGGAAATGGTGCGGCAGCGGAGTGGACCGGGCACCGCAGCCTGGCAGTGTCGCTCACGGACACCTGTGCACACTGGTGCCAGCCAGAGCTGAGGGTGCAGGGAACCCGGCTCAGCCTGGACTGGGCCGGGCAGCTGCTGCAGGCAGGCCCTGTCCTCCCGTCCCCATGGGCGAGAACCGCCTGGCTTGTCAGGAACCAGACCCTGGGCACAGGCGGGCAGCCAGGGAGGGTCTGTTCTGGGCCGCCAGGGTCAGCTTGCCCTGCGCCCGCAGGCATCCCACGCTCCTTTGTGGAGGCCCAGGAGGACTACCTGCGGCGCGAGGCCAAGCTGCTGAAGCGGGAGGGCTCTCCGCCACCCCCTCGTGACCTGGCCGAGGCCTTCCAGGGCCGGTCCCTGGACGCCCTGGGCCCTTTGAAGCAGAAGCCGGCCCATGAGGGCCTGGTGGCCACGGTGAAGGAGGCTGGCCGCTCCGTGCACGAGATCCCTCGTGAGGAACTGCGGCGCACGCCCGAGCTGCCCCTGGCACCGCGGCCACTCAAGGAGGGCTCCATCACCCAGGTAGGGCTCTGCCCCTCCAGGTGGGGACTCTGTCCCTCTCCCCGATTTCCCAGTCAGTGGACTGGGGTTCAGAGACCTTAAGGAGCTCGCCCAGGGTCACACAGCGCCTCCTCCTGGCGGACTGTAAAAGCCCAGTGCAGTGTCCTTGAGTCTGCATCATGTGCCCCGGCCCATCGCAGTAGGGGACCTGTCCCACAGGGAAGGGGGCTGGTCAGCGAGACGCCCCAAGGGCCACTGCCAGGCAGAGGAGGCCCAGTAGGAAGGGGGCAAGCGTGTGGGCCAGGGGAGGACGGGGTGGTCCCTGCTGTGCAGGACTGGCAGTGTGGACATAGGCGGGCTCTCAGCCTGAGCCGTGGCACTGCCGTGGGCAGCGTCCACCCCTGGTCCATCGAGTGTTCCTTTCCAAGGTGAGCACATCTCCTCTTGAAGGTGACAGGAACCTTGTCCTGGCAGAGAGGGCAGGGGCGGGGGCAGGATGTCCTCCGAGCAACCTGGCTGCTCAGTGCACTGTGGTGCCTGGGACCCATCTCTGTGGCCGGCAGATGTGAAGCTCCGTCCCGAGTTCGTTGCCCAAGGCCACGGCCAGGGGGTGGGGCACCAGGCTCTGCTGCCCAATTCCCCAGCAGTCACTGGCCTGGCAGAGGTGCTGCCATGTGGAAAGGGTTTGCACATGGGGCCACTGCTGCCCTGCAGAGCCACCACTGGGCTTTCTGTCCCTTCCTGGGCACCCGGGCAGCTTTGGGTCAGGGGCCACGTGTCCCTCTCCTCAGCACAGCCACCTGTCCCCTGTGCTGGGGGTGTGGCAGGTCATTCCATGTTACAGACGGTCTGGGCCCGGGATCGCACCTTCAGGCTCAGGGTTGTCACCTTAGTGCTTAGGACTTAAAGGAGGGAGAGCAACTTAATTCACGTTTTCAGTGGGTTCAGTCCCTGGTGGTGGCTCTGAGGCAGGAAGGTGTGGCAGGGCCACCAGGCGCAGGGCATGGGGAGGCAGAGAGGGGGGTGGCGTATGGAGGGCAAGGGGCGGGGACAGCATGGGCCACCCAGCGCACAGCCCCCTGACCACATCCCTTGGCCCCCAGGGCACCCCGCTGAAGTATGACACGGGCGCATCCTCCGCCAGCGCCAAGAAGCACGACGTGCGCTCCATCATCGGCAGCCCCGGCCGCACCTTCCCACCCGTGCTCCCACTCGATGTGGTAGCCGACACCCGGGCACTTGAGCGTGTCTGCTACGAGGACAGCCTCAAGGGCCGGCCAGGGGCCTCAGGGGGCTCCATCACCCGCGGGGCCCCTGTCGTGGTTCCTGAGCTGGGTAAACCGAGGCAGAGCCCGCTAACCTATGAGGACCATGCTGCGTCCTTTGCCAGCCACCTGCCAAGAGGCTCCCCTGTGACCACGCGGGAGCCCACGCCGCGCCTGCAGGAGCGTGAGTAAGGGGCACCCGTGGCATTGAAGGGCAGTGTGGGGTCCATCTGCAGCTTGATCCCAGCCCCTCCAGCATCCTGCCACTCCCAGGCACTTTCAGAAATTTAAACTGACCAGTGTGGTGATACACACAGGTCATCCCAGCTCTCTGGGAGGTTGAGGCAGGAGGGTTGCAAGTTCAAGCCCAATCTAGGCAACTTAGTGGGACATTGTCTTTAAAAAATGAAAAGGGCTGGGCATGCAGCTCCATGTGAAGGCCCTGGTTTGATCCTCAGTACTGGGGGAAAAAAATTAAATGATGCCAATCCTTTGCTTACTGCCTTTCAGCAGCTCTGTACTTAGAGAAAGGTACAGCTCCTTCACCATGGCCCCAGGGCGTCCCACCTCTCCTTGCAGTTTCCTGCCAAACCCCTGCAGCCCACAGGCTGTGGAAGCCCCCTTCTATTCCCCTCGTGCCAAAGGTGGGGGTCACAGCTGTCTGCATGCGGGGCCTTTGCAAGTGCTGACCCCTGCCTGTCACATCTAGAACCTAGTGGCCCCTTCTATTCCCAGTTTCTGTCGCCACCTGGGTGACGTGGGAGTCTCCCACCTCTCCAGCTCTGGGCGTATCCTCTGACATTTAAAATTTTCCCCTGGTGCGTTTTATCTCCCTGGAGCCCTTGTGGGTTTACTGGCTCCTTACCTGCCTCCTGCCTTGAATGTCACCTCCGTGGGGCTTGAGGATTTTGTCTGTCTCGTCTCCTGGGCTGATCCCAGCTCAGAGAAGCACTGGACACCGCTGGTACAGATGGTGTGAACATGTCATTGAATGAGCGAGTGAGTGAATGTCTTAAAAAGGAACCCGGCAAAGCAGGGAGTAAACGGAAAGGAAAATGAAAGGGAAGCAGGCGACCGGGTAGAGGGAGGGACCGGGCGGGGGCCGGGTGGCTGTGCGTGTGCTGAGCCAGCCCGTGGCTGTCCCTGCAGCCAGCCTCCTGTCCAGTAAGACGTCCCAGGATCGGAAGCTCACGTCCACGCCCCGCGAGGTCGCCAAGTCCCCGCACAGCGTGGTGCCTGAGCTGCACCCGCACCCCGTCTCCCCCTACGAGCACCTGCTGCGCGGTGTCGGCGGCGTGGACCTCTACCGCGGCCACATCCCACTGGCCTTCGACCCCACCTCCATTTCCCGGGGCATCCCACTCGACGCAGGTGACTGCCGGGACCCCAGAGCGCCAGCCCACGGTGTCCCGGGACACCCACCATCTGGTTCCATGGGGAAGGAGAAACTGAGGCCCGGGGAGAGGAGGAACCAGCGTGCCAGTGTGGAGCGTGTGGCTGAGAGCTGGATTCCAGGGGTACCGTGGGTCCAGCAGCTCAGTGATTTTCGGTTCCTGTGGGACTTAGCAGTGCCTCGGGGGTGTGGACACATTAAACCACGGGCTCACCTGTGTGGGCCACACGGACAGGGTCTGCGTCTTCAGAAGGCTCACTGCTTGGAGTAATCAGTGAGCTGCATTTCGAAGCTCCACGTTCAGAGACGGCACACGGGGGCCGCTCCTGCGGGTCGGGGTACAGGTGTTTGATTGTGAGGTTTTCAGTCCTGTGCTATGCAGAGCACGTGGGGGACCCATATATGGGTGACGTGTGACTTGTGGTCAGATATTTAAGTTGCTCTTACTACAGTAAAAGACGTATTGCCGTTAAATCCCCGCAAAACCCTCCCCTCGCTCGGGGCATGTTCCGGCCATTCTCGCTGCTTCCTGCAGCAGTTCTGGGGTCCTCTTTCCCGGGAGTCTTCACGGTACGTGATGAATAATACTGCTGACGTCACTGCCGAGCGCTCGTGAGCACGCGACGTGTCCTCGTCCACTGCCCTCACCCCATCTGGCACTGTGCGACTTCCAGCTTCTCCCACAGTCCACACAGTTGTGGGAAACATTTTGAGTGGGTTCAGGACATGAGGCAGTCGCGACATTACAACTAAGGACGCTTAGGAAAGGGGACCCCGGAGCAGCTGCAGAAGGGGCAAGGATCCAGGCTGTGTGGACGGAGGGTGGCGGTGGAGGCACCGTGGGCAGCTTTTCTCACCAGAGCGCTGACTGCGTTTATGGCCACAGCCCCGGGCTGGCTGCCCATTGCCATGGGAACCTCCAGCGGGTGGATGGGCAGCGCTGTGGCTGAGGTGGGGCCACCTAACCGTGCCCGATGCTCCTGCAGCCGCTGCCTACTACCTGCCCCGGCACCTGGCCCCCAACCCCACGTACCCACACCTGTATCCGCCATACCTCATCCGCGGCTACCCCGACACGGCAGCACTGGAGAACCGCCAGACCATCATCAACGACTACATCACTTCACAGCAGATGCACCACAACGCTGCCACCGCCATGGCCCAGCGCGCCGACATGCTCCGCGGCCTGTCGCCCCGCGAGTCATCCCTGGCGCTCAACTATGCCGCTGGCCCGCGAGGTAGGTGACGCGGGCGCACCTGGGTCTCCATCCTACATGCCTGCTCTGGCCGTGCTGGGGCCGCTGTGCTAGGGCTCCCTGGACAGCTGTGGACGGCTTGGCACTGGCAGGGCTGCGTACTGCAGTTGCCCTGCCAGGCTGGACGGGGTGATTGAAGGTTGACAGCCGCCCTGGGGGTGTGGCCACCGGAGGCTGGACCCAGGAGGGCAGAGCTTGGGGGCCTCGGCTACCAGTGGCGCCCTCTGTCCTGGTGGCCTGTGCAGGGGCAGCAGCCGGGCCTCCTCTGCCACGTCTTGTTTCCTGCCCTCCCCAGGCATCATTGACCTGTCCCAAGTGCCACACCTGCCTGTGCTGGTGCCCCCGACACCCAGCGCCCCTGCCGCCGCCGTGGACCGCCTCGCCTACCTCCCTGCCGCGCCCCAGCCCTTCGGTAGCCGCCACAGCAGCTCCCCACTGTCACCAGGTAGATGGCCGTCCCCGGGGCCCTCCCACCTGCAGCTGTGTGGCCCGCTGAGTCTCTGCTTTGGTCCCCTAGGAGGCCCCACGCACTTGACAAAACCCACGGCCCTGTCCTCGGCAGAGCGGGACAGGGACCGGGAGCGGGAGCGAGACAAGTCCATCCTCACGTCGACCAGCACCGTGGAGCACGCACCCATCTGGAGACCCGGTGGGTGTCGTCCCTGACTGGGCCGGGCCTGGCAGCCGTGCGCTCCCTGCCCCACTGATCTGGCCGCCTGTCCCCAGGTACAGAGCAGGGCAGTGGTGGCAGCGGCGGCAGTGGGCCCGGGAGCAGCAGTAGCCGCCCTGCCAGCCACACCCACGCGCACCAGCACTCGCCCATCTCACCCCGTACCCAGGACGCCCTGCAGCAGAGGCCCAGCGTGCTTCACAACACGGGCTCGAAGGGCACCGTCACCTCTGTGGAGCCCAGCACGCCCACGGTCCTGAGGTGGGGTGGCTGGCACCAGTGGGGGGACTGGGCGGGCAGACAGACATGTGCTAGATTGTGCGCGGGTGCAGGGGTGACAGGTGGGTAGGCCCGGCTGGCTTGGGGAGACAGCCAGACAGACGGAAGGACCCGGGGGTCACATGCAGGTGGGTGAGGCCCAGGTGAGCAGGTGACGGGCGGGTGGTGAGAGGGGTGGATCATGGAGTTAGAGGAGCAGGAAGATGGACGGGTGGATGAATGGACAGATGTACGGTTGGACGGGTTAGAGGCAGGAGGATGGATGTGGTAAGAAATAGAACAGGTGGATGATGGGTGGGTTGATGACGGATGGATGGATGGCCGGGTAAGTGGGCAGTAGGTGAGGCTCAGGCTGGCCTGGTGTGGACGGCAAGGGGTGCAGTTGGAAGGTGGAACAGGTGAGTGGCAGCTGCTGAGGGGCCCCGGAAGGAGAGGTGGGCAGGGAACGCTGGCAACCACGGGCCTCTTGTCTGCTGCACGCGTGGTCCGCCTGCTCCCTGTGTGTCCTGAGCACCCCGCCCTCCTGCTGCCCCTTCTCCTTACCCTGACACGTGGCCAAGGAGGAGTCGCGCACTTTGGCGGGGCCCTCGAGCCTGTGACCGCCTAGTCCATCTGCTTGGCACGGGCACAGTGCTGTTGCCCACCTTGCTCACTGCCGGCCTCCCAGGGTCTGGAGGTGCCAGCACCCGATGGAGTGATACCTGAAAGGCGGGTGGAGGAGACAGGCAAGGCCAGGGGCAGTGTGCAGGTCCGAAGCCGGGGCAGACCCATCCAGGGAGGCGTCTAGGGCATCTGGAAGTCCCTTGGTCCTGGGCAGTGGGGACTCGAGGGTGTTGGAGTGAGAAGAGCCCACAGGTCCACGGCTGCCTGACGCCATTCTCTCCCTCAGGTCCACCTCCACCTCCTCTCCTGTCCGCCTGGCTGCCGCATTCCCACCCACAACCCACTGCCCTCTGGGCAGCACCCTGGATGGGGTCTACCCC